TTGCCGCCGTCGCTGCCGCATGTGCAATAGTGCACAGTAGATAGGCGCCCAGCCCGAGAGACTCGCTCCTCTATGAATGGTGTGAAAGAAATTTATATAACACATGAAAGACTGTGACGAGAGAGCGCGGAAAGCTCGTGAATTTCCCACACACATACGCGTATACGCGTAGCTATAGATGCGTGCGCGGGAAAAACTAGTCTATTTTCTATGATGCACGGAATCGTTTACTATTCACCGGATTATTATGATGCCGCGGCGGGAGAATCGCAATCCGCTGCAATCAAACTTTCCTGCGTTAGTGCAAAGCCGCCTTCTGTGCGTCTGGTAACGTGCCGCGCAAAAATACATCGAGCCAAAGAGCAGCAACAACAACGACAAGAGACACACAACGACGTATGAGACAAAAAATAACACGTATCCCAGGGAAATCACGCGGAATTTCGTTCAAACCACGCATATTACACGTATGTAGTATATGGTAAAACGGCGAAAAAGAAAAGAGTATAATACGAATCGCGAAACGTTGTACGGACTATTTAATGACGAGCGCGCGCGTCGTGGAGAACTTTCTGCGTGGACTTGTGTTTGTGCGAGCGCACATTGATTGAAAATTTTTCATTGTTAACGATCGCGCGGGCCTCTCTCTCTTTCTATCTCTCTTTCTCTCTTTCTCGTTGTCTTTCTGTTATTTAGCATTGAATCGTATAAACCACCACGCAAATTTACATTGAATCGTGCGGGCGCGCGCGAGGTAAACAAAAAAATAAAAATAAAATGAATTAAAAAAATACCGATCCCGTGTGGGCTTTATTATTTATCCGCGCTTCGATGCATTATACACGAGTATTTTACAATATTACGCGAAAAGTTTATGTATACCTCGTTTATGTATGTGTATAAATGTCAAGACGGCCGGAAAATGCACGTCAGCGAGGGATAATAATAAAAATTATGCCGAATATGTCACGTATGCCGCGGCGCTGCATAATGGCATAAGGAAATCGGTGCGCGCCTGTAAAGCTCGGGTAATGATCGTTATTTAGCCGTTTTCCTATCGGATTACATTTTCCACGTGTATTAACCATAGGCATATCGAATGAGCTGCCCGCGTGGTTGTCCATAGATATATATATAAATGCGCGCACACGAAAGAAAGAGAGAGAAAAGAGCTATGTATAATATAAAATGAGTTATTATTGTGCGCAAAAGAATTTAAAGCTTGCGAAATCGGCGCGTACGCGTATACATATAAACGTAAACCGCCATCGAGTATGTGTGTGCCTACTTGTGTACGCTAATAAGTACTACGTGTATAATAGAGGTCGGTCTCTCGATTCTCCTCGTAGCAACCGACACACAGGCACACACAAGAGAGTCGCATACCTGTAGCAAAAGATTTTAATCGATGAGAGGTTCGCGATTATATATATAGGCACACGTTATTATCGATTTCTGCCGCTGTTTGCGCGCTATACTCGCGAGTCTGCCAATTTGTATGCCGAACCTCTCGTCGACCGTCGTCGTCGTCGTCGTTCGCCGTGGCCTACAAGGATAACCATTCAAAAACATCATCCGTATATATAGTATAGTATATTTAAAAGTCCGAATGGAAAAAAATAAAGATGAAAGAAAGAGAGAGAAGCCATGAGAAAAAAAGGAAACGAGCGTAATATCGGCGCTCGCGCGCGCGTTGAAAAATGTCACGCAACCAGTTCTTACAATGTCGAAAAATTCGCCAAGTGACTGCCTGCCTGCTTGATATATTTAGCGTATATACATACTTACGCGTATATATGCGTGCGAGCTGCTGCTGCTGAGTATTCGTGATTCTCGACTCGAGAAAATCAAGGCGTAAAAAGATTGGCTGGTTTAATTAGGCCATGCGCGCGAGCTATATAGGTATAAGCACATCTATATAAACACAGCCGTGTATTTATATGTATATTTCGCGTGTGTGTATCGGCGAGTAGAAGTACCTATATAGTCTTGGCTCGGCATGCCTCGGCATCTGGTTTTCTAAATCTATTTTTCTTTTTCTTTCTATTTTTTTTCTACCGAAGCTTTTCTCTCTCTCTCTCTCTTTCTCTCCGTATGCACTTATATGCATGATCCACGCCTGTTTCGAGCGAGCTGCACATACGTACGTATTATACGTATACATAGTGGCGCACGTGTGCAATTCTGTACGTCGCTTATACGCTCTGTGTGTATATAATATCGAGCCTCGAAACGCGAGTCGAGCTATATGTATACAGGAGAAGGAACGTTTTAGCATAAATTTAACTTCTCATTAACCTTCTTCGGCTCCGAGGTACAAACAACACGACGACGATGACTGCTTATATGCGCGCAAATTTGCAGGCGAAAGAAATCGCATGAAGTCCGCGTGCGTGTGCATGTGCGCAACGCGTTTGCGAATGTGTCGCGTTACTGTATATAAAAAGCGTCGAGCTCGAAGCTTCGCCAGAAATCTCGAAACTCTCTCGATCCCGAGACGGAATAATCCCTTTGCAAATAAATTGCACGGCACCTTTCGCATGTATAATATAAGCATAATATACGGAGCCGCGTGTTCGATAACTAACGCGCGTAGAGCCTGCACTGCGTCAACCTGTGCTTGCGAGCGCACGACTACGACGACGACGCGATCGGGCGCGAAAACATATATTTTATATCTCAACGCACAGTTTTGTCCATTAAATTCTGGCTGTACGCTCTACGACGCGCCGTACACGAATTATATTATATTATACGCGCAATTGCATAAGCTAGCCGCTCGCGCGCGGCGGTGTGTATATCGCATGGCCAGCGTCGCAGTGCGGCGCGCGACCAAAAATACCGGAGTCGTATAATCGCGCTTATGCTCCATTACGTAATTATTAATGCATATTATAAAATCTGGGCGCAATGACGGCCCGGCCTGGTCTGGCGCGCGAGTTTGTAAAGCATCGATGTAGCAAGCGGGCCACTCGGCGCGACGAATAACAACTAAATCAATTGAAGTTGCATGTAATATATATACCCGCCGCGCGCGAGAGAGTGGCAATTCGCAAAGTTGTGGAAATTAAAAATTTTTCAAGTCCGCATCTGAGCGACTGAGCGACTGAGAGTGAGCGAGAGACAGATAAAGAAGCAATTAAGCGCGGAGAGCACAAACGTAACCGGGAAATGCGCGAGTATTATATCTATATCTATATATGCTACGAGGCTGCTGTTGCCCAAAGGGAGAAAAGAGAGACGACGTATAATACACACACACTCGCACAGCAGACATAGTTTAGCGGAGAATATGTAAGGCAGAGGAAAAGTGAAAGGCTTTGTGTGTGTGTATGTATACGTGTGTATGGTACGTGATACGGTATTCGTGCGAATTTGCGAGCACATGCAGCAGCATCAACATCGTCGCTGCTGCTGTATATATATGCATGCTACTATGCGAGATTTCTCACTGATTGCCGATTTCCAAAGAGCTCTGAGCAGCATACCTGCGGCGCGCGCCAAGCGATGTGTCGCCCGTACACGTATATGTATACCTATACGCGCCACTTCCTCTCGCGTGCGAGCTACATACATATAACACTGCGCAGACAGAGGCTGCTGCTGCACGCACGTGGGATCTCCGCAGTGTGTACACACAGTAGTATGCTATATAGGCACAAGCTGTGCACATGCACCGCAGCGGAGGCGGCATGATTAAAACTGCGTAATCCTCTCTCCCTCCCTGAGACTGACTAACTTCGCTCTTTCTCTCTCTTACTCTCGCGCGGCAATTAGAATAGAGAAAATCATTGAATTTCGCGTCCCTTGTGCTCCGTAATAACAACGAGAAGAGCAGCAGCGGCGGCAGCGACATTAAAAGCAACAAAAAAAGCTCCTACCTACACACGAAGAGCAGCAGAGAGAGATGCATATCCGCGAAAGTCTCTTCAAGTATGCCGCCACTGCGCTCGATGCTGTATGTGTTGGTGTGTGTGTCTATGCATGTATAACTCTCAGCGAGATATCTGCATTGCTATGAGCTAGCTAAGCTAGCTCGGCTCTGGCTCCGCAAGCCAAGGCGTTAATGGCTCTAGGTGTCCGAGTTAGCAAGTGTTCCGCGTCTCTCCGGCATGCAACTTGCATTTATATGTATATAATGCATGCTACGTGTTATATATACATACCTAACATAGATATGCTACTAAGGCAAATGCCGACTACTATTACTACTAGCGCCTGCCTCGAACGCTTGGCGTTTGGCGCGCGGGCCTCGTGGTAATCGGCGCTTGTAATCTTCTTCGCCTAGAGAAGAGGAGCAGTCGCGCACTAATTATCTCGCGAAATTCATATTATATACGTACACACAACTGCTGGAGGATGCGCCCGAGTTAGCTCTCGAGAAACATGCAAAAGAAAAGAAACGAGTAGAAAAAAAATTATACTATATAATACGTATATTGGCTTTCGATCGAGAGCCGCTCGCTGCTCGTTACAATTTCGAATTCTATTAAATCGAGGAGAGAAGAGATTAGGAGAAAGAATCAAACGCGGAGATCGGTATACGCCTCTCGATCGTCTGCGGTCGATGCAACAACAGCGGCAGCAACAGTTGTCGGATGAATACGTAAGATAGAATTGCTAACCTGCCTTGTTATATATACATGCTTAGTCGCGCTCTAATGAGGATAAATTGCTCGAGCGCCTTTTTTTGTTAGCTACTGCTGCTGCTGCTGCTGCTCTCGCAAAAGCGTCTCGCATGATCGTAGATATATTTTATTAGCCGAGTGAAAGTTCTTTTTCTTTTTCAACTTCTTGTTTTTTTTTGCTGTTCCTGTTGTTGCTATCCGTTGTTAATGTTGTTACCCACCCGTCGATGGAAATTCGATTCGTTACGAGTGGCACGCGGGTGTGACCGATTTATTTCCCTTTATCTCTCTGATGTATCATCCTGTTACCGATCTCTCTATCTTTTACATATCGAAATCTACATTGAAATTGTCTGCGTTCGTCCGTTGCAGCGAGAAAATCCATGTGGCTGCTGCTGGCGATCTGGCTGCAGCTGGCCCTGGCCACGGGTGCGGCCCAGTCGTCGCCCTGTCCCTGGTCGTCCCAGCAGCTGACCGATCTCGAGAACTCCTGCACCTGCGACTACAATCTCGCCTACGAGCTGGCCGTCCAGTGCGACTACGTCGATTTCAATCAGCTGCTGCAGGCGCTGCGCCGCTACGCCTCGCAGCAGGCGCGCATCGACATACTCTACGTGAACAACAGCACGGTGGGCACGCTGCGCAACAACACGTTCCAGGGCCTCAGGGTGGTCAATCTGCAGCTGTCCGGCTGCAAGATCAAGACCATCGAGAACAACGCCTTCGCCGGCCAGGAGAACACCCTGAGGAATCTCAATCTGAGGGACAACGAGCTGCACGAGGTGCCGCGTCAGGCTCTGACCAATCTCAAGAACCTGACCATCCTCGACCTGTCCAAGAACAAGATCAATCGCGTGCCCGAGCACTGCTTCCTCGGCCACAGGCTCAATACCCTCAAGCTCATAGGCAACGCCGAGCTGCAACTGGAGACCGCGAGCTTCCGGGGCCTCGAGTCGACCCTGAAGAATCTCAATCTGATGGGCACGCGGCAGCGCAAACTGCCCGAGGCACTGAGAGGTCTCAAGGCGCTGGCCTTCCTCGATCTGTCGCAGAACAGCATCAGGGAGCTCGGCGGCAGCAACGCCTTCCAGGGCCTGAACTCGCTCACGGGCCTGAATCTCGAGCGCAATCTCATCCAGTCGATCGGTCCCGACGCCTTCGCCGGCGTCAGCTCGACCCTCAGCTCGCTCAGCCTGCTCAACAATCTCATCCCGGAGTTCCCGACCAGCGCCATTTCCATACTGCACGAGCTCAAGGTATGTATATATACCTACATAACTGCGCGCGTCAAATATATAATAGTTATGTTTTATATTGTTGTTGCAACTACGCGCCGCTTACTGTAACACATATCTATATAACAACACTCGAGTCGCGAGTATACGTTTAATACGCGCGGGTATTCGGTTACACAGCTGTAACGTACGAAACTTATAACGGCAACTGTTACAACTGCACATGTGCACGTATACAGTTCGCGCGCGTCGAAAGATGAAGAGAGCAACAACAAAAAATGAAGTTTGTTGCAGAGTACGTTATACACATTCGCGACTGGTACAGGTTTTACATTTTCAACGAGCGCAGAATTATTTACGCTAATAATAAAAGCGAATGTTTCTCGTGGTCGCGCGCGCGACACAGACGCTGATGATGTTGCTCAACAGCATCCTGTGCAACTACGGCGGCTACAACAACAGAAGTATACGTTTCGTAAATAAAGAGTCGTTGTATCGTTTGTTTTTTTTTCTTCTTCCCTCTCTCGCTCTGTCTCTCTCTCTCTCTGTCTATGTCTATGTCTTATCTCCCAAGATGTATGCATGTGTGCACTCGTGCATACGACTGCATGCTGTATACGTGCGCGTCTATTCATTAAAAAGGATTTGCAACGATATTAATCAATCAACTTAACGTCGCGCGCGCGCACTCGTAGACTCATAAATCTTAAAAACGATCGATACGAGAGAGCCTCTTATACATAATATATTTTAATGCTCGCACTATATTGAATACAGGTTCTCGACATAGGCTTCAATCTCATGACGGAGCTGCCGATCAGGGCGTTCGAGGGCAATCCGTCGCTCACGCTGCTGGCCATCGACGGCAATCCCCTGTCGACGGTGCCGCAGGAGGCCTTCGCCAAGCTGAACGGCACGCTGCGCGGCCTCAGCCTCGGCGGCCGCTTTCTCGTCTGCGACTGCAAGCTGCGCTGGATCGTCGACTGGATGAAGTCGCGCGATCTCCAGGTGACCAGTCGCGAGAGCAAGCCCCAGTTCTGCGGTAGCCCCAAGCAGCTGCACGATCGAGCCTTCGATACCATCAAGCCCGAAGGTATGTCATTTTCCACACGCATAATATACCGAACGAAACCTGTTTGGATGATAACACCTTTGGGAATGTATTTGCCTTGGACAGAGATGACGTGCGACCGACAGTCGGAAATCGTGGGCATTGGCACCGTGGAGAGCGTCGAGCCGACCGGAGCCATACTCGAGGCCATCGAGAGTCAAAACACGCAACACGCCGCCGGCACCCACAAGCCGAGCACCGTCTCGTCCAGACCGACCAATTACTACGAGACCACGAGCACGTCTTCGAGCACCAGTAGCAGTTCGAGTACCGTAGTGGCGACTCACATGCCGACGACCCTGGCCGAGCCGAGCAGCCCCAGCCGGGAAATAGTCGCGACCAAGCGACCGGGTAACATCTACGCCACGAGGAACAGTCCGAACAACAACCCGAGGCATCCACTGGTCCAAGGATCGCCGTTGTACACCAAGCGCAACCATCCGGACATCAGTATCAAGGACGCGCTGAACCAGGACAGCACTCTCATCATCAGGTGGGAGGCAAATCCCGAGCCGCTTCACTTCAAGGTCGCCTACAGGCTCTTCGGCGATCCGATGTTCAAAGTCGGGCCTCAGTTGAACAGCAACGAGAGGGAGTTCAAAATCAAAAGCGTACCGCCACATGTTCGTCCTTTTCTATAATTATGCTTGCAAGCTGCGATGCGTATCGAGTGATTTCGAAATACTTGTGTTATTATTCCACAGGAATGTCTGATAGTCTGCGTCATCGACTCGGCCGACATCGCGCAACCGACTCCTGCCAACGTTCCCTTCAGTCAGTGCCGCGAGGTGCGCACCGACGGCCCCGCCACGTCCAACATGGACAAGATCACGATCGCGGCCTCGGCCTCGATCTGCCTGACCATCCTCGCGGCGATACTCATCTTCTTCCTGATCAGTCGGCGCAGGCGACACGCCAGCTCGCGCAAGCTGCACACGCTGCAGGAGCCGGGCAAGCTGCCGATCGCCGGACTTCCGGTCAACTGCTGCTCGAGTTTGGTGGGACCCACGCCGAGCCCGGGCGGCGGTATGGGCGCGCCCCTGCCCGGCATCCAGGGCACTTTATCGGCCTACAGCGTGCAGAAGGAGTGGGACCAGCTGTCGGCCTACAGCACCAGGAGCCGGAACAACATACCGAGGCCGAAGATGTTCCCCGTGGAGAGGAACGGATCGGTGACGAGGGCGTCCTGCTTGGACGACGGCGGACCGCCGGGGGGACCGTCATCCATGAACGGCCATCCGAGAGGTCATTACTATCCCGGCGCGACGCTCGGATCGAGTCTGGCTGGATTGGGTAGTCGACAAGGTACGTAACGCCATCCGAGCCTCTTTCCTAATCTTTGCTTGATAATCACTTGTAACTTCGATCTGCACGACCAAGAAGCTTATGTAAACGGTAGTTTTCTCGGTATCTTTTTTTTCTTTCTTATTCGTTCTTGTGGAGATTGGACACTGCACCACGCACCGCACGCACTCGATTCACTGTACAATAGTCGACACACCAACCCACCGTAGCCAATTTGTTAAGCGATGCAATGTGTGTGTGATCTCTAAAGGAGCGAAAAAACGCTATCTGGTTTCAGCGTACCGCCACTAAATCTCCTCCTATTCTTCTGCTCTATCCTGTTCTGCTGTCTTGAAAATTCGAACACGATGCTCAAATTGTGTGTGTGTCTGCGTTGCAACGACGATGTGACACAACAACAAGCCACAAGCTCAACACACCCAACCCACACCCTCATCATCACTCGTTTCAGACCTACGTCACTCGAGGCAGTCGCTGGCCTCGCGCAACGGCGGCGGCTGTCCCTATCCGGGCGGCCCGGGCAGCCAGAGCAGCGCCCGACGCCAGAGGCCGAGATCGAGGACCAACAACAATCAACACCATCAACAGCAGCAGCAGCAGCACCTGCCCAGGCCCGGCAGCCGTTACAGCCTGGCCGAGTCGACGCACACGCTGAATCGCGACTACGAGGAGAGCAACTGGACGGATCACGACATGGACATTTACATGGCGAGGAACCCGACCACCAGAGGTGGACTCGTGCCGCTCTGATACCACTGCCAACGATGAAAAAAGCACAAACTCTCGATGGCATGTCGTAGCTCTGCGTGAAATAGGAATTCGTTTTTTTTTCGTATAATCTCGCTCGTTCGTTCGTCGAGCTGCGCGACGATTACCCTCCTCCTCTATTCGTAATCTTCGCTTTTTCCATTGATACAGGTCGATGGAGATTTCACGATGCGAAGGTATCAGGACTAAAGTTTAGATTTGTTGTTATTTAATAAACTTCGGTTAGACTATAGTTAGCAATGACCGGCTCCAGTGTAACGCAAAGTTGTGTATATTGCGCGCGCCCCAATTTCGGGTGGGTACATATCATACAAAAGTGCAATATTTTCATGTAATAATAACTCAGCAATTGTTATTGTCAATTAAATCATAGGTATATGTTTAAGATAAAACGGACTCGCGCGCTTATTACGTAACAAATAAGTCAATTTTATTGTAATACTTAGCATTAAAAACGTTTGTACGAAGTTTCCCGAAAGAACAAAAACAGAAAAAGCAATTGATTTTTCTTCGAAACGTAATATTTCCAAAGCACCGATTGTCTCCTCGTATCCCCCTCAAACTTTCTGGTAATTTGTATGCTCGTTGGTTTTTTGCTCTCTTTTTTTTCGGATTTAAAGTAGTCGCGATATGGGCAAAAATTAGTTGTCGTAAATAGATTTAGTCTTTAGCGTAATGCATAAGAAAAAAGAAGGAAAAACAAGAAGGAAATTGGTGCGAACAATGTGTAACGTTGCAATGCATCTCGTCCAAAGACTGCACGATTGCGCCAGCGATGATATTATTTTAATGACATATAATAGGCACTTCGTTCATACATTGCATGTATGGGTGGTCGTGTCTGAGGAAAAAAGCAGCAAATCATTATAAACATAAACGATGTAATTAGCCTTTAATTCGAGCGATTTAACGCGCGTAATTTGTCGTGTAAAAACTGTGTTCGTTTAATTACGGATAATCCTCTCTTTCTTTATATCGATCAATAATGTAAATAAATCAAAAACAAAAACAACGTCTGAACTCGAAGATAATTTATACATATAATATATATTATACGATGATGAAACTCACCCGGGCAGCATGATGCCTTTCTCCCAGCGAAAGCGGACCTCTTGGACGAACTCGTGCCAGAGCTGGGCCAGGGCGGCCTGGCCGCCGAGATTGTAGGCGCAGTGGGCCGCCACGACGGCCAGACGCCAGACGAGGCTGTCGACGGCGCACGTCTTGATGCCTCGCCACTGGTCGTCGATGCTGCTGTTGTTACCGGCGCCGCTGACGTTTTCGGCCGTGGTTGTGCTGCCACCACCGCTGACGGTGGAGCTGGTGCCGACGCCACCACTGGTACTGCTACTACTGCTGGTTCCTTGATCGACGCTGCTGAAGCTGCTCATGTATGCCGCTCTCTGCGAGACAAAAGAACAAATCATTGCCAAATTCTTTTCCAATTGTTTGTTTTAACGAGTTATCGGATCGTTATTCGATTATAAATGTATTGTGTATTATTATATATTTTTCGAGGCATTTCTTAATTATATACAATTAGCATGTAGCATATAAATATTTATATATATTTTTTAAATTGAAACTTTATAGAAAAGTCTATGTAATTTTACGACTAAACATTACTGTTTTCTATGTGTATAGTACTTTAGCGGAATAAAATATTTATTGTAAAAACTCAACAACACATCGATTTTTGAATGAAATATTCAGACATTGAAGTTGCAAAAAAATGTAAATCATGCTTATCAACGATGTTAATCGAAAGTTTCGTTGATCTTTTTTTCATTGTTTTCACTTGCCACACGTATTTCGTGTCAATTTCAAGTTAAAATCGATGCGCACCCTCGTCGGTATCGCGCACGTGTGTCTATATTAAAGTCAAGTGACCCTCGAAGATCGATACAGCATCCCAAGTATAGCATCTAAGACGCTTTGAATTAAAGATGAAAGAAAAGCGTATAATTTACCGACTTTCCCTCGGCGTCGGGGAATACAAAGTAAAGAATTGGCAGTAGTACGTCCTCCGTTATGGGGCCCTCGACGTTTTTCCGCGACTTGGACGTCGCTCTGTGCACGACGGTCGAGATAGACGGTATTTTCGATTCCGTGAGAATATTAAAGGCCGAGCCAATGGATTGATTGTCGTTGTCGGTCGCGTAAGCCGCGCCATCGCCCAAAATGTCTGTGAGGCTCTTCGGATTGCTGCAGAGCAGTAAAAAATTCGACAGATACTCGCCGAGCAGGCAAGCAGGACCAGGAACCATTTCGACTTGTAGAGCCCACTCCGGGGCGGACAGTGGCTCTAAATCGCTGAAACTCTCGCTGTCTACAACGACGTTTTCACAAATTTCCGGCCAACTAACAAACAATTGAAATTCTCTGGCAAAAAAAAAAATAAAGAAAAAAAGTTAATTAAAACAATGTTTAATTCATATGTATAATTTATTCAAAAAGCCCTCACTTTATTGGGTCGAATGTAGCTCCAAATGGTAGTTTACCAAGTTCATCTACACCTAATGTTTCACCTTGAAGAAAATCAAAGTCAGGCGGTTCTTGTGTCCATGTACTACTTGTCCAATCTTTCAAAGAATATGTCAAGCGCACGGATACAATTACTGGATCCAGTTGAATACCACAACCTTCATTTATTTTCTGTTTGAATAAACTTAATAAACCTGTGAGATGCCTGCAATGTGGGGGAATTTTTTTCAAATGAACCATGTTCAAATGCATTCTTGATCCTTTTCCAACATTCACACCCAAATAAAATTTCTGCCATGACTCTTGTGCTTGAACAAATGCTGGCAATTCACTGCAATTACAAATTGAATTACATTATCATTGAAAAAGGCACATAAAAAACAAAAAGGTATGAACACCAACCAGCGAGCATTGCTAACTGCAATTGTCAAAGAACTGAGTAGAATTTTTATTCTAGTTTCATCGAGTATTGAACTCTTTTTTGAAGGCACTAAAACTAAAAATTCTCTTATACCATAGTATCGAGCAATTTCCAAGTGATTCTGATCTAATTGCACAAAGTCATTGGAAGCATTGAGGACATCTTTTTGACATTGGGTCCAACAATCTTCTTGCTCTTCAGACACAAGAATACAATCATTGTCAGTTGTTTCTTCCTCGAGTCTGAGCTTAAAGTGTTTCAGTCGAAATTCCACATCTGCAAAACGACCAGATTGGTTTAAAAATAACTCGCGACAAAGGAAAGAAAAACAACAAAGACAATCACGTCTGCGTGCGTTCAAGCAATTGTCAGAACATGAGTGAAATCACCTGCAAAATTGAGCTTATCGGACGTCTCATCCCAGGGGAGATTGATAAAATCGCCATGCTTCAACGGCGGACCAATTCTCCTCTGTGGCAGCTTCCACTCGTGTATCAATTCCTCCAATCTCGCTATAAAAACCTCCCATTCCGAGGCGGTGGTAAAGTCATGATGATAGACATCCTCGATCTCGACGTTATTCATCGCGGATCAGTCGCGTTGTCTCGTCTAGCCTCGGCGAGCTTTTACTGCTCGCGCACAGCAACACACTTTGTGCACAATAGAGCGTGCTAGGGGCCCTTCGATATGTCACTTTCGGATTTCAGAGAGAGAGAGAGAGAGAGAGAGAGAGAGAGAGAGACACGCGTGTTCAAACGTCAGCAGCAGCGGTGGCAGCAGACATACTGGCTGCCTTGAGATTTTCGAAATTCGCGAGGCTCATTCGTGCGACGACGATGACGACGTGCGTCCAAAAAATCAACACACACGCACGTACGCACTTTGTTATGAATACGTATATCGGAGCAACAGTGGCAGAGGCGCCCGCGCGCGATATGTAATTATGTTGTGCTGGCTAGTTGTAGCAGCCAATGTTTTGCTACGTGAAAGTTGACATCTCGACACGAGTTCTACTGTGTAGCAGCAGCGCCAGCACCTCTAAAGAGCAGCAGCAGTCAATATATGTGTATAGGTATGTTGTATCGGTCGAGTTACCGTACCTATTCAATGCAGCGCGCAGCAGCCAACCAAAAGCACGCACGCAGTGTGCGGAACTTGTGTTCAACTCAGACAACAACACACAGTCATGCTGGCGTTTTGCGATGCTTGGGCGAATCTGCGTTTCTCGACTCTGCTCGGCCCGTGTGCGTCCAGCACGAGGCGCCATCTCTGCGCGCGACACCGCAGTCTGCAAAAATATCCCAGACGCGAACGCGTTCGAGGTTATGAATGCACTTGCCTGCACTGCTGTAGTGCACTGCACGCCCATGACGTGAAGCGCATCGCGTTGCGAATCACGTGTGTCAAAGTATCATGATCGTGCACATCTGCCTCGTTTGTTGTTAGACAGACTATAGCCGAGTTTGTTGCTATTTTTTGTACAGAGATTTTCTATTGCATTATGAGAGTCGATCGTTATTGTTGATTGTGTGGAATCTTGCGACTTTTTTACATTTTATATTAAATATAGGAGTGCCGGAACGAGAATATGGTGGGCCTTTTAAACGATTCTGACAGCGACGACGAACTGCCGCCCGGCTGGGAGGAACGTGCGAGCGTCGACGGCAACGTTTATTACGTCAAGTAAAAATCTGTCAAACTAACTTTCTTTTTTGTTTCGAAAACAAAGTTCGTTAATGATGCTTTTTTTACGGTCGAGCAGTCACTTCACGAAATGCACCCAATGGACACACCCTCAAACGGGACGCAAGAAGATTGTCAAGGGTGAATTGCCCACGGGTTGGGAGAAACGCGTCTCCGACGATGGAAAAATTTTGTTCGTCGACCATGTAAATAGAACTACGACATACACGGATCCAAGACTGGCTTTTGCTCACGAATACAGAGAAGCGTCGCAACCTGTTAGGCAGCGTTATGATGGCTCCAGTACTGCATTGGCTGTACTATATGGCAGAGATTTGAGAAATAAAGTGGCTTTAATTACAGGAGCAAATACTGGAATTGGTAATTTGATTTATTTGAATTGGTGATTTCTGTAATCAAGTCTCATTATTTATCAATTATAAAATACTTTTAGGATTTGAAACAGCTAGATCTCTTGCAATTCATGGATGCACAGTTGTACTGGCTTGTCGAAATCAAGAGAAAGCTAAAGCGGCTGTTAAAAAAATTCAACAAGAAAAAGATAATGTAATTTGTCACATTTTACAATTAGATCTAAACTCTTTACAAAGTGTCAAAGAAGCTGCCACAAAATTTAAACTAAAATTTAGGTAATTTATATTCAGTATATTACTTTGAACAATATTACAATAGCCTTACTTGATTTTTATTTGTAGAACTCTTGATATTCTCATTTTGAATGCTGGAGTATTTGCTCTTCCTTACACATTAACTCAAGATGGTTACGAAATGACATTTCAAGTAAATCATTTGTCTCAATTTTATCTTACTTTACTTCTTGAGCATCCTTTGAGGAGTTGTCATAATTCAAGAGTTGTTATACTCTCCAGTGAATCACATAGGTTTGTAATTTTTAAAGTCTATTAAAATTTTTCAACCACCTATAAAAAACTAAATGATTTATTTTTGTTTAATCAGATTTTCGCTAATTCAGTCAGTTGAAGATCTTCATCCTATGACTTTATCTCCACCAGCTTATAAATATTGGTCAATGGGAGCTTACAATGATTCAAAACTACTGAATGTACTTTTTGCACAAGAATTATCAAAACGGTGGCCTTCAGTCAGCATATTTTGTTGTCACCCTGGCAACTTAGTATCTTCTGATCTAGCAAGGCATTCTTGGATGTACAGATTATTATTTGCCATTGTGAGGCCTTTTACAAAATCATTGGTAATTCTTGTTATATCACTTTAATGAACTCTAGAATAAAATATTTTAGTCTAAACAAATAATTATTTTTGCAGCAACAGGCAGCTAGCACATCTGTTTTCTGTGCTACAGCTCCTGAATTAGAAGGTGCGACAGGTCTTTATTTTAATAATTGTTATGCGTGTAATGTATCCAACACAGCATTAGATCCGCAATTGTCATCTCGTTTATGGGAAGTAAGTCAAGAAATGATTTTAGCTGTAATAAAAAAAGAAAAACTGTGGCATGACATTGCTCTTACATGATAAATATCATCAAGAATTATACTACAATCCAATCATCAAAATCAATTACTATATCAAGAGTGGATGATGATTATTTTAGTATTTGATTGACGGACCATCGGTGCTTGTTACATTTATCTTTTCAACTGTGATTATCTTCTAATGCAGTTAATACCTTGGGTCATTGGATTATTTTATTTTTAAGATTAGATTATTGCTCAAAAGACTAACAAGATGCAGTTTTATCTCTTTGTTTCAATATGTTGTTATAGTCTACATATCCATTCTAGTCAAACCTTTTATTCTAAATTACAAATTTCCATGCAAAAAATTTTTCCATAAGTACAGATTCAAAGGTTTTTTTTTATCATAAATAAATTTTTTTAAAAGAGGTAAACTCAGTGACTGCAGATATATTTATACATTCCTTTTTATTTATTTATATTAATATTTTTTCAACAATTTCATTTTAATTTTGAAAATTTCAATATTTGTGAAATGTGTATTGAGTTTTATTTATAAATATTTAAGAATTATATCTCTTTTTTAATTCTCTAGAAAGAGAAACACCTCAGTAATAACAAATACATACGCATTCATGTTAACTGTACATTAATCAAATTTTGATCATAAATTTTAAACCAACAATTTAGTTGATTAATTGATTTTATAGAACTTGACGTAATAAATACATGCGACAATTACAAACAAAGATCTTTAATTAAAAATAATATTTAATTTTTTTGTCCTACAAAATAAATTTTATAAGTTAATATAATATAAGATATAAAAAAGAAAATATCAATTGACAAGGCTCAGGACATGTCACATTTGATTTATAATATTACAGGCACTTATAGACAACATACATATTATACAGTAACCATGACCCTCATCCAGTCCTTGGAATCGTCAATAAATTAAACAATTTACTTATTTATAACGTCGCCGCGGCCTCGCAATCGTCTCAGCAACTGCATGTCGCTGCGCATCAGTGTGACTCGTTTGTTGTGTAAGCACAATAAGACGGCATCCTCAAAAAATTGCACAATATACATTTCGCACGCCTCTTGCAGGGCTTGCAGAGCCTTGTCTTGTATTCTGATTTGAAGGGTTCTTGGAAAGAGATCGTTGATGATTTCGCGCACGATCCTGGAAAACGGAGCCTTTGGTAATAGCAGATGCGTCGACTTTTGCAAATACTTGATTTCTTCGATCATGCGATTTCGGCGGGCCTTGTTCGAGGTTCGCTTGTCTGTTATCGTCTCCGAGTCTTTGCGTTTGTTATTCCTGGCCGAGTTGCCTTTTCGTCGCACCATTTTGAAATGTGTAGAAATTAAACTGCTATGCGTTTTAGAATTGTTGCACTGCGGCCCTTCGGCATATTTTGTTGATACATTCGAGAAGTTATGACTGCATACCGCAGAACTGTCGTTTTATCTAAGTTAGTGTGCACTACATAAGAAAGGAGTAAAACTACACACGTGCGTCCAAGTTCAAAATATTTTGTTTACGTTTGAATTCGGTACGTTACGCGTTTGGGTAACAAAAGTGTGAAGCTAATATATAGATAGATAGGCCAATGCCTAGTGTGTCATAATATAGTTCACCGAATGACCTAGGGACTGAGAGAGGGCGCGAATAGCAGATTTTGACAATTTTTGAATGATTATTATTATATCTTTATATTTTTAAACTTGATTGAATTTTCAATCTGAAAGTTTCAAACCGAATTTTTAATCTGAAACTTTAAAGCGTACTCTGATAAAATTTAGTAGTTTAGATTATTCTGTTTTACCAAGTATACTGACACAGCAGATTTCGAGATAATATTTCATCAACCGAAAACCACCCTACTGCAATTTTATATTTATGCTTAAAACAGGTCTTTAATGCGTCTTTCAGATATCATGACAATTGTTGCTTTTCAAGATTTTTATAAGTTTTATGCATTAAAAATAATTTAAATCAGGTATACATAAAAACTGTAAAATTAATTTTAATTTAAAAAATGAATATTTCTGGTTGATAAAAAGTGCAGATTTTAATAATATTTCATTCAACATTTTATTCTATGTATTATATTTACAAAAAGACTCATAAAGCAAATCTTTTAGATCTTAACAATGACTTTTTCATTCATAAAAACATACGCTTAGCCTCTGTAATATTCCAGTAAATAATCTTCTTTTGGTTTAAAAATTAATTTATCCTTAAGATTCACTACCCATCCTGGTTCTAAACCGTAAAAAAGCTGTCTTGGATCTTTTCTTTGTATTAACATTTCATAATCTGGATCATCTTCTATCCTTGGCAATTCATAGCCATATTTTTGCGCTAGAGCAAGTCTTGCTTGAGAAATTTTTTCTGGATCTGCCAAATATCCTCGATTTTCAGGATTCGAGTAATATTCTAAACAATCAGCTAGTGGCAACTTGCGACGTGGTATTGGTTCAGCTGTAATTATTGGATTATTATTATTGTTTTCTTTTAACCGATCATCTTCAGTTACAATTGTTTGAGAAATAACAAGCATTACCTCTAGAGAACCATCTGACAGGATCAACAGCACACTGGACGGAGGACAAGTCGTAATATGTTGTAGTTATAGTACCACCATTTCTTTCTATGGCAGCTATTGCTGGTTCTGATGCCCATTGCACTTCAATATTGACCTTACCTTTGAAAACATTTGCTCCCTACAAGTTATGTAAGTGTTGAAATAAATTTTTTACATGTGTAATTTAATTTTTCATGATGATTCATACCGCATCAGTGAGATTAAGTCCATAATGTTTTCTTTCTGGAAAACAATCGACTACACCAGTATTTACAAGGGCTGTCAAATCAATTGGTTTAGAAGTGTCAATCCTATTGGTATCAATAAGCATCTGAAGTTTATGCAGTGTTATAGGAGGATATTGACGTTTCAAACTGCAAGGGAAAAATGAGTAAATAAAAATTGATGGTAATTTCGGAGCAACTGTAGTACTTACTGATGACCCTTGTAATATGGTTCAAATCCAAATCTGAGGTAAAACGGCCAATTACCAGTTTCATATCCAAGTCTCATGTGATTTTGTCGCTGACCCGAACCTTTGTTACCGGCACCGTGTTTGTCACCACCATGTTGACCTCTTCCACGTTTATTCTAACGGAAAAAAGCATGGTTAACTAAAATGTGCTGAAGAATTCTTGAATAGAAGAATAACATCTTTCAAAGGCTATAAATCATACTTTGGGCTTGAAATTTGGATTTGGTTTAAGGTTAGCGTGCGAAACTCTGGGCAATGCTTGGAGCATCTTCAGAGCCAGCTCTCGACCGTGCAGGCCGGAGAACGACATTTTTGACGGGTGTAATATTCACTAGTTTCACAAATCGAACGCTGTCATTCAGCGTGCTAGGATCAATAATTGACAATAATTATGCGAGAAATTATCACCGGCCGACGAATGTTTTCGTGCAGCAGAAGGACTTGTTCGATTCTCGATCGAGATAAGCCATTCGCCAACAGCGCGAAGGTGGCAGCGCTCAATACTACCAACAATGAACGTTGCTCCGATCTTAGTATCTTACTCGCCGCGCGCGCTACTCACACACAAGCACAACAACAACACTCCTATATATTCGTGCGCTGCGTGCAATTGTCAAGTCCCCATCGCGTCATTCTGCAATGTTGGACACTTGAAGCGCTCGTCGATGAATAATATTTTCGATTCTCCGCCGACGACTGCCGCGTTCAGCGCATTAGTGAGGTAGTGCGCGCAGCACGACAGCATCGAGCACACCTCGATAGCCAATGTAACGCAGCTCGGTCTCGTATTACGTTATTATATAGGTGTGGGCTCTCAAAACTGCGAGTGATTATATTGTCAGTGCAGCGCGCAGAGACACAGACAGCAGCAGAGAGTTGCGTGCGAAAAAAAGGGTGGACAATTGGATAGTAACCTTAATGCGAAATAAGAGTGTCGTCGTCGCTCCGTATTATGAGTCAAATAAAACCTTACAGTAGCAGCAGCAGCTAGAGTTGCTAGATAGGTATTCGCGTGAGAATTCTCGTAGGCTTAATTTATTGCTATAACAGTGTCACAATATCGCCAATACGGCAAGTAGACGCGTGCCGTTAAACCGTGTGCACGTAATACGTAGTCATTTTCGCGAGAGTGTTGTGTTCCTCTCTCACGATACATCTAGCGAGTGAGTCAAAAGTATTTCGCGCAGAGTGTCGTCAGCTAGATGCTAGATGCCAGAAATTATGGCAGGTACATCGTCCTTCGGCATGCTGAACAACGAGTTCGCTGGCAGCAAAAAGAAGGATGAACCAGCGAACGAGGACAACTTGTGGTGGGTTTGAAATACGATATTGACACATTGTGCCTTTTTGTTGAACGTCGGCGGATCTTATCGCGACGATTAATTAATTCTCTCGGCGACTCCCCGTACGCTGACTGCATGTTAAATGATCATTTCCTGACTTTTGCAGGTCGCATATCTTGGCTCAAGTGCAGGCACAGAGTAGAAACAAATTGCCATCGAACAAAAATTTACTAGTTCTGGGTACGTAAGGATGACATGTTTACCATTCATACATTAATCTGTGTGAAATTTTCCTTATATGGTTTGCATGAAACTTATTGCAGGTGACAATGAGAGTGGAAAGACTACGCTAATAGCCAAACTGCAGGGTGTTGAAGACCCAAAAAAAGGATCTGGTCTTGAATACGCTTATATCGATGTTAGAGATGATTACAGAGATGGTCAGTACAATGCACAAATCAAGGTTTATGAATGAGTTTTAACATTCTTAATCATTACAGATCATACAAGATTATCAGTTTGGATATTGGATGGAGATCCAGGACACTCTAATCTGTTAAAATTTGCTTTGAACGCTGAAAGATTTCCTAATACTCTTGTAATGCTTGTCGCTGCAATGACCACACCTTGGGCATTATTAGATCAATTGCAATTTTGGGCTAGGGTTTTAGGTGAACATATTGACAACATTGCTACAAACAATGACTCTTTCAAAGAGACGTGGCAAGAGTGTAGGCAGCAAAGTAGGCTTTTCAAATCCATAAACTCATTCCTTCTGAGTAATAAGATAATAACATGCTCTCATTAATCTCTTTTGTAGTAAAGAAAAAATGGCAAGATTATACTGAACCAGGAGATGATTTAGAACCAGGCAGTCCATTAAGAAGAACAAGTAGAAATTTAGATGATGAAAATGTGGTTGACAATTTACCTTTGCCAGAAGGTGTATTAGAAACAAACTTAGGACTTGATGTGGTTGTAGTTATTACCAAAACAGATTATATGAGTACTCTAGAAAAAGAACATGATTATAGGTACATTTTTTCAGACTGATAAAACAGTACTTTTTTTAACTATAATAAACAAAGTAACTTGATTATTTTTTAGGGATGAGCATTTTGATTTCATGCAGCAGTGGATAAGAAAATTTTGCCTTCAGTATGGTGCTGGCCTTTTTTATACGTCAGTGAAAGAAGATAAAAACTGCGATCTATTGTACAAATATTTAACGAATAGGATTTATTCTTTTCCATTCAGAACACCTGCATTGGTAGTTGAAAAAGATGCAGTTTTAATGTAAGATCTTATAAATTATCAGAAATTATTCAATTTAATTAATGATCGCCATTCAGTCCAGCAGGTTGGGATAACAATAAGAAGATAAGTATTCTCCACGAGAATTTACAAGCTATGAAGCCCGATGATTATTACAGGGATATCATAGTGCAACCGACTTCAAACAAGAAGGTATTTATTATTTTAATACTAGGGATAAAATTTGAAAAAAAATGAAATCAATAACTTTTCAACATTTCTGATTTAGAATGTAACGCGACAAGTTGAAGTGGTCGCGGAAGACGAACAAACTTTCTTGGCTAGACAACAAGAAGCATTATTAGGAAAAGAATCTAACCGATCACCGTCGCAGAGGAATCAGGCAAGCACAGGCCCAGTTATACAGGTCAAATCCATTTTGATACTAGCATGCTTTCAATGTAACATTGGTGTTAAAATCTTCAATGAAAATCATCAGCATCAGCATCAAATTTTTATCAAACTAAAAACAAACATTTTTTGCCTCAAGTAATTAACATTTATGTTTTAATTTTTTTCTAATTTCTCGTGAAAAATTAACGTTTCGACTTAACATTCATCATATTCATTTTTTAATGACAAATTAACGTTAAACAAAATACGGTGAAATCGTTGAAAGTGCTTTGCCTGAACAAAAAATTATTTTATGAAAATTAAGTAATTACGTACATTTTTACACCCCTATTATTTAAAGTAATTAGCTTATTTTCTTAAAAAATTGCTTGATTGAGTCCCTGCATGATAGCAAAATAATGGAAATTCCATCATTCGCGCAGCTTCCGATTACGCAATCTTTTTCCCTTTTTTCTTGCCTGCAAAGTAATTATTTTAAACGACATTTTCACGAAAATGAGAGAAAGCACTTTCTCGACAAATTGCCGTCGCGCTTAAGTGCGAAACATTCATAATGCGCGCGCATAAAAGGCTCCATGCAATCTCGTTCACAAATTCGACTTATTTTCACGAGTCAAATCTTGAATATTTCATGTACATGTATACCATTGCCCATCCAAGCATGCACTGCGTTTACCTGCCGAAATGTTATATTCATTCAAATATATGTGCATCCGCCTGGAAAGGCTCCTACTGCTGCCTACATAAACTTGTGGCTGCGTAAAATATGCATATTCCGTTGGCCAATGCTTTACGTACGTAACAAAATCAAAATAATCTCCGTGCACACGGGCAGAAGGCAAAGGTATGTTTTCGAAAGATCTTTAGGTATGTATCATTTGCTTGCAATCATTGAAACCAAAAATGAAATGAATAGACTCCTTTGAAAGCATGTTTGGAACTCATATCATGTGGATCGATCTGTGTTGCTTTGGCATAATTTTATTCATTTATAAATAATTATACTCATTGAAAGCCATAAAAATGCAATACCGCTTCAAAAATTATCGCGCTCAAATGTAACACAAACAAGCAAGCATTGAAAGATTTCAACGTAGGTTGCGTCGCCAAACAAGAAGTTGGATCCAAAGGCCGGTACGACCCCCTCTGGTGAAGGTGTTCTAGCTAATTTCTTCAATTCTTTGCTGAACAAGAAGACGGCCGGTGGCTCGCCCGGTGGTCCTGGATCCCCGAGCTCCCTTGCTGGTGCCAGTCCCATCAAGCCAGGTAAATTGTTCACTGGCTCTTTGACGCATCGATGGCGTGGTATTATGATTGTTTTGTTTTTCATTTAGATGGCCTGCCGATCGATAAAAATACTATGCGCAACGACGCCGCGGCCGAACTCGATCGAATCACGAAATCCAAACTAATCTCGTCTCCGGAACTTGAAACATCCACCGAATCTTGAAAATCGCAATATTCGCTCTTGTTCATCGACATCATCATTTCATGTTGCAACGAACAGAAGACTAAGTTGTGTGAAGTTTTTTTCTTTACAGTGCCGCGCTTGAACAAGAACAAGCATGTCGTAAATTTATAAACGAGTGAGAGCGTTTTTTTAAATTATATTTTATTATTTGTACAATTTTAATCGAATAGTTCGACGATATTTTTATTTGTTGAACTGACTCGAAAAATTTATATATATAAAAAAACGCAGTTCAGTACTTACTAAACGCATCAAACTGTTGAAATACTAATTTATGATAAAAAATTGATTTAGAAAAGCATAAATCTTGGTTTTCCACGACGTTTTTCGTGCATACGCAGTACTTGCTTGACAATAACCAATCCTTTATTTTGCGCCTAACCATTGAGTGTGAATGTTAAAGGACATGAATAACAAAGCAAGTCTGTCAACAGTGCCAGATTATATATATTTATAGCTAATGATCATCGAGCCATTTCGGCAATTTAGTAATTTGTATTAAAAATGTAATGTAAATGAGCTCGATGTAAGCGATGCATTTTGTAACCATTTCAATCAAAGTTATTTGGAACTGAGAAAACAAAAAAACTCAATTTTTTACTATGTGAAAAGTTGTTTATCTCGTCTTTAATCTATAAACTCTCATTAAGAGATAATATGAGATTTTCTTGTTGACACAAGAAAAGTATAATTGTAATGTTGCACAATTTTTATAAACAAGTTGCTTCAAAAGCTTGATTTGTACATTTGAATCGCTGTATTTTTCCCTTGCATTATTTCTAGCAAGAAGAACGAATAATTGTTTAAAAATATATCGTGACTGAAAAATGGAAAAATAAAAAAATTGATTCGGGGATTGTGTGTGAATATTTTTTTTATTTTACATTTCATTGTGGTAAACGATGAATATTAAGCACAATACAAAAATTTAACGATGAAATTGTCTGATAATTTTTAAGTTACATAGCTGAATTTGTAAAACATTTATATCCTTATTATTTCCATTTTATATCACGTTTATTGTTTTATATTAAAAATGTGAAAAACGTAATGATGTATTTAATTAAAATTAACTCACCGTGCAATTATCATTAAAGGTACAGTCTTGTTGATAAATAATAATACATGTTCTCTTGATAATCGAAAGTTATGTTGAATGTTGCTCTTATGCATTAATTAAAATTACCAGTAATTAAAGGAATCTTTTTCATGACTTATATACAAAAAATATCACGATTTCATAATATCCGGTAATTTTTTTATCTAAACTTATAAGTGCTTGCTGTAAATGCATTAAAAAACGCATGTTCTTCTTTGTATAAGATCAATAAATGGAGCCTTTCAACATGACAAATAAGATTTGAACGCAATTTTTCTTTTCATTCTCTACCACACGCACTGTGTACTTCATTTTGTCGCGATTCCATAAGATAGACCATTATACAGATTTTGCAATCATTTGACTATCATTATTTACAAATAACTAGCTTAATATTTTTCTCGAATGTAATTTATTTTTCTTTTTAAGCTTCATCATTTCTGCAATTTATCATAATGAAAGTTTTAAAGTTTGTGAGCCGTAATTTTAGTTGTATTAAATGTTTAAATCTGTATCAACTGAGAACATCTAAAAATTATGGGCCTTAAATATTGATAAAGAATTATTGTCACGAAAATACATTGTTCGGACAAACCTGATGTTAACTTTTTTTTCTACAAAATCTCACTTAAAGTTTGGGCAGGATACGGGGGACCTTTCGAACTTTAGTTCTTTTTGAAATGCCTTGAACGATTTTCGAATTCAACTGAATATGGTTTTTGATTATTTCACAACCAATTAGTAGTTTACGGGAATTAACGCTTGGTACAGGTTAAGGGTCCGATGTGTATAGTTTAATGCAATTGAGATTATTTTTTTTTTAATAATAAATTAATTTTTCCGGGTACACGCAGGGCTCAATTACACGCGATATGCTTCCCACCGTCGAAATGAGTCACAGCCGAGATTTCGGTGAGTTTTGTGATATCACAAGCAAATAGAAGCGTGACGATTTCATGGAAACTTTCAGGCAAAAAGATCGCTTACGATCCAACATGGACAGGTCCACTGAACATAAAACGAAAAGCAGAAAACATACCCTTTACAGTCGCTTATTACTTGTTCGTCGGCCTTTGGATCGGAGTAGCTATTTACGGTATGAAAAAAACGCTAACGAATTTGCAGTCTCTTTTTTTAAGCCCTAAATTGGTGGTGACATTTTTCGCGCAGCTTATCTGGCCGGCGACGTATCAAAATTCGAAGAGAATGACGATTTTACGACCGAGTGTGAGCAATTCGTCGCCTCGGAATGGTAGGACAAATTTACGCGCGGAAGATTTGTTCGGCCAAGCACGGAATCATGCGGATTGCCTCATGAAAATTCCAGGTGGATCGTGCTGACTGTATTCCTGTTGGGCGCGTTCTGGTCGATTTTGTTCCTGGCCTTATTGAGAGTCGCGGCGAAGTTCATGGTTTACACAGCGATCGCCTTGATGTTCACCATCATCGGCTTGGCTGTATTCGGCTCGGCTTGCGCCCTGATCTTTGAACGGACGCGCGGTACTTTCGCTGGCTTCATCGTGTGCACATTATTGCTGATTATCTCTATATGGGCGTACATGACAAAAAGCAAATTCATCCCGATGACCTGCGAAATCATTCGAGAGGCGGTCAAGCAAGTGTCGTCCCCGCTCCCCTAATTTTTTCTATACAACGCATCGTTTGAATTAAATACCAATCATTCCGATCGTTTGTTCTTTAAATTACAGAGCTATATTCTTCTTTCCGCTGGTTTTCATTTACACGATGGCCTACTACGCTCTGGCCACAATCTTCACATATTTCATAATGGAAATTTGGGTCCACCTAGCCTCGATCGTCATCATTGAGGGATACGTTCCGATCCAATTATATTTTTGTGACATAATCAATGTTATCGCTCTAATCTGGATCAATTGCCACATGTGGGGCATCTACCGGCTGAGCGTGGCTGGATCATACGGAACCTGGTACTGGGCCATGAACAAGCGCGAGGTGCCGCTCACCACCACGTTGCGCTTCATCTACATCGCCGTCAGGTGTTGCATCATATCGTCGCGATAGCGCTCGAGAAATCGCGTCTAAACGTTCGAATGCATTCATTTCTAGATACCACATTGGCCCGGTGGCGTTCGGCTCGCTCATCTTGACGGTCTGCTTCATACTGCGAATGTTGATCAGTATGATTTGTTCGTCCGCGGGCGCCGACGATCCCAACGCGAATCCCGTCACTTGTCTGTTCCGCAGCTGCTTGCTGTGCTGCTATGCCGCTGTATCCTGCCTCGAGACGATAGTTGAGTCCGTCACTGGCTTGTCTTTCGTTTATATCGCGCTTCACGGCGGTGGATTCATTGATGCAGCACGAGAGTCGTTCAATATGTTCAGAAGAAATTTTTTGAAAGTCGCCATCCTCTCGCAGGTAGCCTTTCATTCTTGTCCACTCTGAGTTATAAAAAATCAATAGTACGCGATGATTATCATTGGAAATTCTTTTCAATTCAAAGATCGTAAGAATTTTGTGCGTTGTTGCCATGGTTTTGATCTCAATCTTGACGGTTCTCGTATTTTGGGGACTAGTGTCGTCGCAATCGATAGCATTAGAAGAGAGGCAAATTGTACTGGGTCTTTGTATACTTGGCATCCTGGTTCTGGTCGGTTTAATGCTTGAACCATTATCGATTGCCGTTGATACCATCTTCACGTGCGTGCTCGAAGATTTTGAAATGAACGGCGGCACCAACAGACCTTACCACATGTCGGATAAGTTGAAAAAACTAGTTCTCGAGAATAGACTGGAGTAAGATTTTCATCGAGCAATCAAGACCTGTGTTACCTGCCAGGCATGAATTGATTTTTTTGATATAAAAAAAAAAAAAAATTACTCAGTAAAAAAAATCGACATGTGAATTTATGTACTCATCAGTATGTACATCAACAACCAAGACATTAACACCAATAATCAACCTTGCTGACTGCAAGTTTATACTTCATTAATTCGAATAACAAAAACTGTACTGTTTCTTCATTTATTCCGTTTTTATGTTCAATGGGTGCAATTCATTTTATTGATTTACATCATACTTTGAATTTGCAACGATATTATTTTAAATTTTCGTTTATTTCATACTTTTACAGAGCTTCGCTTACAATTTATAAAATGAATTAGGTGCTATAATTTTTTAAGGATTCTTTTTAATTGGTGATTAAGTTGAATTTCTTTTACTATAAATAATTTAAACTTTTTTCTCAAAGATATACATGCATTGATTCATTGAAGTTGACAAAGGGTAATAGGACGGTTATAATAATAAGATATTTCTAACAGTTTCAATGTATTTATTGCACTCCCTATTAAGTTTTTTTTATAAATTCACCAGATTTTTTTCATAAGTAATACATTTTTACCATTTTCGTGTTTACAGAATTAGAATCATTCGTTAAAAAAAAAGAAAAAAAAAGACATATTATTACAACTCTCAGAGTTTTCTTATAAAAAATAGCATACAAAATAACACGTACAAAATAATCAAAAAAATCTTGTGAAGTTCACAGACTTTTTTTATATTATTTACAAGAACAAGATTTTTAAAAGATTTCATTAAAGTAAATTGAATACGTACCTATTTTAACAATTTATTTCGAACAGTATACCATTCTATCTACTGTCAAATTTTTCACAAAAGGGAAGACAGATAAATAAAGATAAAAATCACTGCACAAAATAATCTCAGTAGCTTCGTTAATTATACAAACATCAATGTAAATATCTAATCAAGTAGACAAATCACATAAACAAATTAGCAGCTTACAAAAGGGTTTTAATTTTACAACTTTTCAAAAAATTTATCATTAGCAAGTTTAATTTACTGGTAAATATTGATCAAAAATTGAATGCTACACATAACGTGTAAATATTTTCAATATTATATGCTATAAAAAATTTCAATGCAAGACAACTTAAATTAACAAACAAGAAGCATTTGTCAAGTCGAACTAATCATTATTACTTCACTATTTTAGCTTATGCTTTACTTGAATGTAAAAACAAAGGCACGCACTTGATCAATGGCAAAGAAAAACGAAATATACGCGTTACTTTGTCTAATTATTTTATTTTTTAATCGTACCTAAACCCGATAATTATCAATCTTGAATAAATTTTATTATATTCCGATCGATACACAGCTCGCAAATATTTTGTTCCACAGCAGACTTCTACTCTTTGATTAACCATAACAGATGCGAGAAGTGTGTCAATGCATCAATAACAAGGATCGATTTTCAGCACAATCGAAAGTAGAAAATTCATCATGCGATTAACCAATTATAATTAAATGCGAAAAAAATTTAATTACTAAATCAACGCTATCCATATAAGATTTGTGTGAGTATAAATGTACAAATAGAGATGTCCAAAAGCTCGATAATCCCTTTTTACGACAATTTTTCACTTGGTCGATTATTTCGTTCGGCATTAAAGGGAAATGTTAACGCATTAATTTGATACTATCGGTCTAACATTACGACTAACGACCGCTCTCTTCTTTCAATAAAGCAGAATACGCTTATCAACGGCTTTGCGGCAAATCGGGCACTCGGACATGCGGTCGCCGCACATTTGGCACGTGCCGTGGCCGCACAGGAAGATCATGTTTTTCAAGCGATCCAAGCACACCGGGCACATTGTCTGTTGAAAGAAAGAAAATATCCATCAGTGATTGAAGCAAAAAAAAAAGGAAAAGAAAAGAAAACAACAATAACAACAACAACTACACATACGTATGTACGCGAGATAAGACCGCAACAACGACGCACTATATTGCCGCGTCGTGCTTCGCTAGCTTCGAATGCCCAACCAAGGATAATTAAAACGGGGCTGCGAGTGCTTTTCCTCGGTGAATTTTCACGTGCATGCATGTGCTTTGAAAACTTTTCACGCGCGCGCGCATATACACATGCTAAAATGGAAACAGGTCGGTAAGACGCGAGTCAAAAAACCATTAATCAGACGAGGACGCTGCATTTTTAATCGCGTTAAAATATTTAAAATATTCCGTTTGAAATTTTCATAGCCGAGCGATCCCTTGACGACGATAAAATCAATTTCCTCGATGCGCCAATGGTTAAATCGTTCGCCTCTCTCTCCCGTGAACACGAAAGCAAACGAGCATCTCGGCAAGAGCTAATTGATCCTCGTCGTGTATATAATGCCGAGCCTCTCTGCCGACAGCCCTCAATCCTCTTCCTCCCCATCGGTTATGATAGACGGTCTATATGTACGTATGCTAGCGCGTACCCGTGTTATGTGGTACGGCACAGTTGAATAATCAATGCATGTCTCTCTATATCGTGCTACATAATAGAGGGACACGAGGAGGATATAATAGATGCGTTACCTGTTCTTTGATGTCTTGTAGCTGTTGCTGCAATTTCTGTATGTCGCTGTGAGACGTGTCGCGGCTGCCATTGTTCATGAGGTTGCCCTCGGGCTGTTGCTGCTGCTGCTGATGTTGATTCTGTTGCTGCGGTATGGCCGGCAAAAGCGGCTGGTTAGCGCACGAACTCGTCGTGCTTTGCGGCTGTTCCTGTTGAGGCGAACTTGTCGCCGATGCCGCCGTGGCCACAGCCACTTGTGCCGCCGCCGCCGCCGGCACCACCAAAGCTGCTGCCGCGGCGGTCTGTGCGACGTTCGTCGTCGCAGCGGTCGTTGTCGTCGCAGCCGCTGCCGTCGCCTGGGCCGTCGCCGCCGCCGCCGCCACCGCCACGGCACAACTACTTTTGCTTTTATTGCGGTTACTGCTGTTATTAGTGTTGTTGCTGTTATTGCTGACGATGGTGCCGTTGTTGAGCAACTTTTCGTCGGGGCTGTCGCTGATCTTTATGCCGGCCAATCTGGCAGCTGTGTGGGCAGCAGGGAGGAAAAGTTTTTAGTTTCCTTATAGTAATGGAACTGTATCGTCGACAGTATACGAGGTACAGCGACGGCGAGGAGGCCATGTATCCCGTTGCAAAGTTTTCGCGATAAAAACGTCATTTAGCCTCCTCGCTCGTTCGCTCGCTCGCTCGCCTACCTATAGCTATTGCACCGACCGAAGAAAGTTCGATCTTCATCTCGTGCACAGAGAATCAATGCGTGAACGATGCAAAAATTTTTTTTACCCCCTTATCTATAATATATCTATCTCTATCTATCTGTCGCGGCCGTTGCGATCTATATACGTACCTAGTTGAGCCGTCGTGCAGGTCTTGAGATCGCCGAAATCGCTGTAGCACACGGAAATGGGCAACATCCGGACTATCTGCGTCCGGCACTGGACGCACTTCTTCATGAGGGTTGCGCAGCCCTCGCAGGCGCACATGTGGTTGCACGGCAGGAACAGCATCGACGACTTGCGGTCTGAGCACACGATGCAATCTTCGATCTGCAAAACGAACGGGTTTCAGGGCGCGCGAGGAGCGTGTCAGTATTCTATGCATTATTTTGTATATCCTCTCTCTTTCGATTCTCTCTCGGATAAAGCATTTCCGTGTCAGAGGAGCTTTTCAAGTGGCGACGCGGGGTGTGTGTGTGTGTGCGCGCGTGGCTGGTGAGCTTTCGCGCGCATTTCTATATATACTGCGTGCAATGCGCGCGAGAATATATACGATATATACTTTCGTTTAAATCAAATGTGCAATTATCGCCATTCACGCTCTTCCCACACATACACACACGTGCACAGTGCACACACGTAGGGGGTGCGAACAATGAAGAGTGATGCGTTTCAGGGAGTGTGGGTGGTGGTGGTGGTGGAACGTAGGAATGCATTTGTACGAGGAGACGAAGAACGTTTTAGCCGGCGTAATGAAATTTTAAATGAATAAAGAACTCGTCGCAAATCCCGCAAGCTCTCCGCTCCGCGTGCACACGGTCCAAAGTGATTTATCCTTTACACAAGCGGGCCGATTCGCATTACAGTTATGTACGCGCTATCTATGTAATATATATAATAGGAGAACTTACCTTGGTGCGATTAACGATGTTCTCGCGACATATGAGACATTTCTTGACTCTTGGCGCGCAGTAGAAGCAGCACGTCACGTGTCCGCAGGGCTCGAACAGCATCTCTCGCTTCGCGTCGGAGCAGACAAGGCACTCGTCTATGGTCGGCGTCGGTGGGGCAATCTCGATGTCGTGGCTGCAGTGTTTTACAACAAAAAAGAAATGAAAGAATTGTGTAGGAAGAAAAAAAAATCAGAAAGAAAGAAAAATTACAAAACTCGTGTACAAAATATCGAATATTTTTCACGCGAAATTGCATTTTGCGCTGCCGCTGCTGCTGCAAACTCGCTATGTGTATATAGGCTGACTCAGACTAGTGTACGTGTATGCGTTCAGCCGCGCACCCGATGTTCATTAAGACGGAAGCAGAGGTGAAAAAAATGACCCCGAGGGATTACATCTAGGGGGCCTTTCTCTCTCTCTCTCTCTCTCTCTCTCTCTCTCTTGCTGGGCGTTCGTGTTCACGCTTATACGAGCAAGACATTAATTCGGGCTTGATCATTATATTATACGGGACGAAGCTAACGTGAGTGCGGGGGCCGAATATAGTGCAGCGAGGCGCGCAGCTGATGATTGATCGCGTTTTCCAAGTGCAGGAGCAGCAGCACTAGCAGCAGAGTTCTATAGCATGGCATGTAACAGCAGCACCAGCAAAAAAAAGTATAACTTCGCGAGCTTGCGATAATGCAATGCAGCAACTCGGAGAGCTTTAGTGTGTGTATGTGTGTATATAGATGATGAGATTGTAAGATGTGTTAATAATGATAATATATGCCCTGGCGCTGCAGCAGGATATTGTATTCGTGTGTATACACGCGGGTTTGCATTGTGTGCACGTGTATGCATGTATGCCGCACGAGTAATGCTCGAATCTATAGTCTGGATTTATCGATAAAGCTTTCCGGGTCACACGGAAATAGCAGCAGCAGCAGCAGCAGCAGCAGCTCCACGCGCAGCAATTGGAATCGCGCGCGAGCGAAGCTTTCACAAACGGCTCGTGTATTATATAGATATAACAATACAGGCTGCAAAAAAAGAACAAGTAGAAAAATATACAAACTTTTTATCCTTGCGGCAGGTAGTGAGAGCCTTGCACAGATTCGGATCTGGACAGAGGTCAAGCGGAGTCTGGCCCTTCTTGTTCTTGAGCTCGAGATCGGCCCCGTGCGCGGACAGGAAACAGGCGATGAACGAGCTGCTCTTTTTGTCCTGACCCTGCGCACCCAAGCCCATCAGCAGTCTGCCCACGTCCTGGACGTCCTGCAGCTGGCGCAGCTGCGACAGGGTGTGATGCCTGAGTGCCTCGTGCAAGGGCGTGTCGCCGTCCTTGTCCGCCACGTTCAGATTCGCGCCCTCGCGCACCAGCAGCTGAAAAGTCAGCGGTATGTTGTACGTGCGTACGTTATGGCCCTGATCGTGATTACACCGCGCTGTAGCGAGCTCTCTCGGTCGCGTAATTGCAGCGCAGCTCGTTTATTATTATCATTATACTTTCAACTCGATTATAGAGATGATATTTTCCAAGCGCATGTGCCGACGCAGATAATAAATCAAGCTTGGGAAATTTCAAATTTGTCACCCTCGTTCGCGAGCACGCAAAACGCATTAATTCGGCTTTCCTGTTTTTATTTATTTTTTTCTTCTTCTTTCGTACTTTTATTTTTAATTTTTGGCCCTGCGGTGCCGATAAGTATAGTAATCGCGCGAGACGAAAGCAACACGCGCGGGCGCGGGCTCGATCGCTAATGCCCATAAACAAGTAGATTAGCCCAGAATTGCGAGCGTCGGGCGGTATAGCGGATAATGCTGTATAAAATTGACAGGAGCACGTATACATGTATACGCTGTACACAGGCAGCCAGCCAGCTCGCAATAACCATCGATTTTACCCTATAAACTTCGTCATTTTCATCGTGTGCCCGGGCGGACGGGGGTAAGCCAGTGGTGGCGGTGTAGCTCGTAAAGCCCGCGACGTTTCAATTTCGACCTGATTTACAATTATTGCCTCTCGCTCGGATCGCTCAATATATGTATATACTACACACACACACATACCCGAACGATCTGGGTGTGCTGTCGCTCGACGGCGAGATGCAAGGCCGTCTGCAAATTGACGTTCTGCAGATCCAAATCGGCTTTGCCAGCCCTGGCCAGCTGCTCGGCCACCTCCACGTGATTGTTCAGCGCCGCCAAATGTAGTGCGGTGTAGCCGTCGTCCTTCTTCTCGTCGACGATCCAGGGCCGTGGCAGCTTCGACAGCAGTACCCTCATGGCGCTGTAACGAGGAAAATCAATAAAATTGTTATTATCGAGCATAGACTGTATTTGATAAAGTCGATATTAAATTATTATTATTATAATTGTTTATATTAATTATATAATTATACATGAGAAACTAAACATTAACAATTGCAAACGTTTTGACGGCCCAATGACAATACTTGATTAAAATTTTATGAAAGGGATAAATGTAGGATAGAAATACAAACATATTATTGCAATAATCCTGTTCATTTGATTTGAGTACTTATTTTAAGTTATTATACTTCCGAAGTACGATCGTATTTCTCCTCATAGTTACAATTACTAGATCTAGTAATAGTTATTAAACTGGATTTATCCAGTGCGCAATTAGATAATCTAGTAATGGCTACTAAATCCGTTCGCTATCCCATTCGCGGCTTCTGCTCTGGTCCGAGTATCGTATTTTTTTTTAGTGTTAAAGTGCAGAGTTCTGATTCTAAACCTATCGAATGTAATTCTCATGGTTGTCGCTCACTTTTGGACTCTAACTTTCTACGGTCTACGACGAATTTCCACCATTCACTACGATAATACTATAACTCGGCAGCTGCATTACCCAGAAAAAGCACTCGGTGCGCAGCACGTATATTTCGGCTTCGCTTCATCGATCATAAAGAGGTTCAGGTTATATTATGTATACGCGTAATGCAGCCAGTCCATTGCAGCACATCGAAGTGCGTGTATATACATTTCAGCTTGCTGCGTGACGACCATAAGTCGCTCTTCGCTATTTCCGGCCTCGATTATCGGCACTCCTTTGCAGCGCGGCGCTTCACGCGCCTGCCGTGCACCAAACGCGCATGAATTTATATCGGTGGCAGTAGCAGTAGAGGACGCGAGAGAGAAAGAGAGAGAGAGAGAAAATATAAACGATCATTGCGAATCTATGCATCGCGCCGAGTTCTACGATGGACATAAACGTCAGTTATCGCGATGCACGCGCACGACGACGAAGACGTCGCGATCCGTACATTACATGCTCGTGCGGCGCCATTATTGCCTTTGAACCCGTATCATAATATAGTTCCTTCTCTTTGCCCTCTCATCTTCGACCGGATCGCGCGGGTAAGTAAAGCTCTTTGCTGATCCGATACTCGTTAGGCGGCACGTACAGGTATAAACGCGAAATATACATCTTCCTGCTTTTATATTTTTGTACTCGTTTATTAGTGGACATCTGCGAGTGTATAAGCCGGTGTTATATACGTATTACAATCGATGCGGGCTCTCCTTCAAGAGCGAGAGCGAGAGTCGGAAATAAAAAAATAAAAATAGGCACCGGAGACTAAAAATTTGGTACACTAACGAGACGGCATTTTCATGATTCTACGGTTATTGAGCTTATTGCTCGGGCAAGCTCGAGCGACGTTGATTTTAATAATACTCAGAGGAGAGACCAGCGAGAGAGTGAGAGACGCCTATCCTCGCCACGCTTTAGCTCTCTACTCCTCGACTTTGCAATTATGCTGACAAGGTTCGGATGTCAACGTGCTGCTGCTGCCGTCGCTGCGTCGCGTTACTACTAGCCCTTCGTCTTGGTTTGAATTCTTCTTTTTCTTTCATTCTTTTTTGGCTTCAACCGAACGAGCCTATTATATCGTACACGGTGATTACGTAAAGTTCGCGAGTATGAAATTCTATTAATGCCATACAGAGTCGTCGTCTGCTTGGGCGCGTCCCGCAAAAGTCACGACGAGACGAGAGAAAATCTTCTTTTCGACTCGGTTTATGTGTGCGGATGGTATTTTTGGAAATCCGCGTGTCGTCGTCCGCGTCCGGACGAGAAAAACCTTGACTAATAAGACGCTCTTCCGGTTTCGGGACATATGCGCGTCGCTGCTGCTGTGCAGCACAGCCACAACGATGCCATTGACCCGCGGGGCACTTCATCGGCGCGGCATCGAGTTCTTCTTCGTTATACTATACGCGGTGCGTCGCGCTGCGCTGGCTGCTGCATTATACACAATATCCTATACATTATAGCGTCGACGCTCGAGAGCGATCGAATGATATAGATTCTATTACGGTTTCGGCGTTCGATCAGCTGATCAGCACCTAAATTCTCATCGACGACTCTCGAATTTGTGACACGACCGCGCCATAATAGCTTATCGCGATGTTGTAAATATTAATTTTCTCGCTGGCTAAGTGGGACAAATAATATTAGTCTTATCGGGTTTCCGTAAAAAAATAAAACACACATACATGTAGGGTGGTAAAGAAAAGAAAAACACAAAGATAAATTTGTATCGCCGTATCAACACTTTGAGTAATAAGCTCGCGGTGGAAAAGTTGGCCAGGCCAACAGAGAGAGTGAGAAAGAGAACAAGCGAGCGAGCGAGCGTTGAAACGACACACATAAGCTTTTAAGGGAGGAAACTTATACGACGAAGACGACGACGACGGCGAAGCTTGCGACGTTAATTTCAGCAGCCGGAAATTGCCGAGAGATTAACCCACGTGCTTTATAACACTAGCTAGGCGCGCGTCGTCGCTCATACGATTGCTCATGCCTGCCTCGACCTCCCTCGCAAAGTTTTTCTTTCAATTTTCTGTGTGTGTCGTTCGCTGCTGCAGGCTGCAGTAGTACGGATGTCAGCGTGCGCGCACGAAGGAAAGACGACCGTCGAGCGCGTCGTCGTGTAGTGTTGCAGCCAAGTGTGAGAGCTGTGACCCCATCGTGCTCACATGTGTGTACAACACAGCTGCATACACACGAGTGGTTCATTGAATTTTCCCGATTGACACTTTCACCGCATTGTATAAACGTTTATATTTTCATGGCTTTATATCAATTTTCAACTGCTACCTATGCTTCTGTCGTTCGTAATTACTCGGGTCATATTATGCATCGAAAAATGAGTATAGCTGCCTGCCTCGGATTTTATACGAGTACGCTGCAATGTTCGATAATAGACGGTCGCCAGCTCAGCTCGGCCGTACAACACATGTTGATACCGAGGAACATTTGTCGAACGAAGGAAAGAGGAAAAGAAGAGTAAAAAAAAAAGAAGTAAATAAAGAAAAAGGAATAAAGCGAGGCGGTATTTCTCGACTCTCGTGTGGCATTCGCGCGCGAGATCATGTGGCCCCCCAACCGACTTACGCTAATTTAAAACCATAGAAACTTTGCGGGAGAGATGAGTGCACGCCGCGTACAGCCGCACGTCTATTTCTGATGGCGAGCGCGCACAGCTCTCTCTCTCTCTCTTTCTCTATAAGCGACAGCTATTTTGTAATCCCCCGAGCAGCGATAATTTTTATTCAAGCTCGTCTCATCTCTCTTTTCTCTGCTTCTGCTGCTGCGGCTGCACGTCGTCTTAATCGTTAAGTCGAAGGATAATTCTTCTCTCCTCGTCTTGCGTGTCGTGAGTACGTATGTCGCAGCTCCTGCTGCTGATGCTGCTACTGCTTCTGCAATGACGACGACGACGTAGACGACGAAGACGACGACGACGAAACGAAAAAAGGAAGCTTTATATCCTGGCTTCTCTGGGTGGAAAAAAGCTAGTATAACGCCCGGCATCAGTGGCAGAAGTAGCAGCGGCAGTAAGTATAAACGTGAGATGTCGAAAATGGACTTCTGCAACGTACACTACGTGTGTGTGGGTACGTGTGAATACGTATGTGTGCGAATAGCGCAGTAAGATGTGTCGCAATGCCTTAGCTTTTACCCCCTTACCCACCGCTGAGTAGTCTGTGTACCTACGTCTCCTAAAAGTAGCTGTACGTTTTTTCCTCCTTCTTTTTTTTTTAGTTTACTCCGCAACGCCCGGAAATCATGAGATCCAACATTTCTCGGCGCTCGCAAAGCGCACAGTAAGTGTGTAACACGCGGCAGCAAAAAAAAAAAAAAAAGAAAAGGGCCAAAGCCACGGAAAAACAACAAACTCTTTTTCCCAGCTCTTCCCGCATCGTCTCGTCTAAACGCATATATGTATCGCATGCACACATGTATATACGCGCGTGTGCAGCATAATAATAATGATTATAATTTTCGAAACGATAAAAATAGCCTTTTATATTTTCGCTGTCTTTCTGCTGCTGCTGCTCGCGCCGTGGCATATATGTTTGCGCGAGCTTTTTCGAGCTTTTGAGAGGAGCCAGGAAAGAAAATTTTCATTCGGTTATGACATTCGAAGTGGAGCATGCCTCGCGAAGCATAATACATAACTCTCGGTGCGCGAGAGCGAGCGCTTTGCACACTACACGATGAGTTTTGCCTCTCTCTCTTTCACTAGGGAGTGCAGCAGCGGTAGCACGACACAGCAGAAGCTCTCTCCCTCTCGCTTACTCTCGTAAACAACGAGATAAATTTAAATAAAAAATGTCCTCCAGCCACATATATAATACGAAAATACATTTCCACCCTGCGCAAAAGTGTGCGTGTGTGTGCAGCATAGCGCAGAACGAGTGTAACCCGCGAGAGAGAAAATGGCATAGGTATATGAGCGGATTGTCCCCACCCCACGGCGAACAAACGTGGCCTGATATACCAAGAATTATGAGTTTAAATAAATGTGTACACGTTAGCCCCGCGCTGCATATCCGTGTGGGTATATAACTACGTGTGTTGTATGCGCCAAGCGCCGTTATACCGCCGCGCGTGCATGTGCATGTTATTGAATTTAGTCTGGCTTGCGAGCGAGCGAGTTCGCGCGCGCGAGAACTGAGGTTGCGAACCGAGGCCGCGTTTCCGAAATAATGAAAAAAAAAAAGAAAAAAAAAAACAGTACAACCGATATAATATTTATTATCATTTTATTCTCCCGATTAAGCAAGTTCGTATAGCACACAAAACGAGCGTTGCACAACGCGGGGGTACGGTGGCACGCACGCACAGAGAATATAATATGTATATGAAAAAGTTATTGTTGTTATATAAAGACAGCAATAGAGCGCGCGTAAACGTGCGTGTTAAAAATAGTGTCGTGCTCTTTCTCTGTATGCAGTACCGCGCAAGCACACACA